ACTTTCATCAGCGACTGCATTGTACACAACCACCTCAATCCAGCTCTCACGCTCTTCAACTCTCTTCTGCTCCCTCTCTCTCTCCCTCTTTTACGAGCCTCTCAAGAAATCCTCTACAACCTCTTCTACCTGCAATCACGACCGTCCCCGCTCCGAAGCTTACCGCAATTCTCACGCCTGCGCTCTCAATTCCCGCCCACGCTAATCCCAACGACACAAGGTCCTATTCAAACAAGCGGCTGATGCGACACCAGGTCCTCCCCACGTCACGTTCCCCGTCATGCAACTCAGACAGCAGCGCGAATAGGCGCAACACGAACCGTATCCAATTTCAATCCCTACGCTGACTCTACTCCACCACTCTCTCCCACCCCTCCTAATATACCTCACGAAATCGCTGCGCCGTCACCACGGAACGAATTCCTTGTGTCGCACTTTCATGGTGGATCCCAGGATCTCGAATAAGTTCTCGAGGTCTCGAGAGCTGCAGGACCCTTGCGTTGTTCATGAAGGTGGGCCCCACTGTCAATGCCGTGCTCGGCAGGCTTGTCTATTAACAGCTGTCCAATGAAACAAAGCGAACGATCCCCCAACACCCAAGCAAAATATACTCGACCAGAAGCTTCATGCCCAGTTTCGACCCCAACCCACTCACGGCATCAGGGCATGTCCAGATAGACGTCGGAGGGGTCGGGACAGGAGGCCGCGAAAGCATCGCAGACGGCTCACGTTCACTGATGTCTCGCGGATGTCGCCATTCACGATTTCCAATGGTTCATGAACACACTCATCTACTGCAGTGCCGCATTGCGATGCCGTTGCGAACACAGTTGCGAACGCAGATGCGGAGCAACCCGATGACGAACACTTCTGTCCGGGTATCTGCGTCTTGCGGACGAATCCTGGTCGTTGTCAAGGAGTAGCTCCACCGCTTGGCCTTCAATCTCCTCAGCAGTGCTCAATTTCAGTGTTGCTGTCACACCGACATCTCTGTGTTGTATCCATTGAGCGCATGCACGCCGGCTGATGGTGATGGGGCTCCTTTGCTGTGCGTAAGGTAGACAACCCATTTCAGATAACTTAAGCATTTCAGCATATATGCAGTAGGTGCATAAATGGAAAAAAAAAAAAAACCAAAACAAAACAAAACAAAAAAAAAAAAAAAACGGGAAAGATCCGGCAAGCTCCTCCTCACTGGCGCTTGGATTACTGCGAGGATGTGTAATACCACATATCTGGCCTGCGAGCTATTGCGAGGTCCAATGCTCAATACCCTGACACATTGTGTTAGGATTTGATAAATTTATATACAATAATTTAAGCAAGTAAGATATCAATTGAGGATAGGACTTTTTTAGGATTAGGGTTTTAGTTGAGCCTAGCAGTGGAGGTTGCACTAAAGTGAGTCATAGTGCCTATAGTACCATTTGTAGTGGGATTGTAATAGTGTGAGGAGACAACATGACGATAACCACGACCTATGCTGTGATACTAAAAAGCAAGTTGACACATGCATCCCTGTCTCTTACAACATTGAAGGTGTAGTACAAGAAGAATAGATCTAAGAAAGAATAATTGGAATTTGAATTGGTTGCTACTATTGAACAAATGGAGCGGCTCATAGATATCCATCCCATGCGAGCATCACCAACTAAGATCCTTTCTAAAAGATTTTTTTGTAGCAAAAAAGATTTCATACTAACAAAATGTGTTGTTTGGGTGATATTAAACGAGGCCAAAGTACCAAAAGAAATGGATTATTTTTAAAAGAAAGTCATAATAGCATATATTGTGGAAGACAATCAATTACCAAAAATCATATAAGACTATGTGACAAGTATCTCAAAAGAACTTGGAAAAGAATTGAATTTAAGTCGCAAATTAGATCATGGCTTCTTCTAGGTCATAGGAAAGGATGTGTCAAGGACATGAATCTCAAAGAAAGAAAACTCAATACACTCTTGTATCACTCAAAAAGATTAAAAAATCACTCAAAGATAGTAATATATTGAACTAGAATGGCTATTGCTAAAGACAAGAATATTAAAAAGTCTTAAAACAAGACTAAGGACTAAAAAAGCAATGACAACAATGAAGAAGGCTTTACTCTTGCTTCTATATTTACTATCTAACAAGGAGCTATATGACAATGTTCTATAGGATCTCCAATACGTGTTCATTTTATAAAGCATATGTTTTAATTTGCAAGACAAGTTTCTTATATATGCACCATATTGTTGCCATATTGTAACACAACTATATGGTAAAAATATAATCAAAAATAAAATTTTAATTAATATTTAATCATCTTAGTTCAATAGTAATTCAAGACATTTAAGCATGGCTTTTATAAAAATCTCTTAGTTTATTTTCTTATCTTAATAGCTAGTAGATTCAAGGTTGGTTAATAATTTTACCTTCTAAACTATTAAATTTCTTTTATTGGCTTAGAAAGGCCATAAATTGATAAAAAAAAAAAATAGTATAAAAAAGATAAATAATTAATATAATTGATACTAGACTTAAGTTGAAGATAAGATCAAACTAAAAAATCCCTAGGATAGATTGGATTGATATCCGAGGATTAACCATTTGTGGAACATACTTGAAATCAAACCTCCAGTCACTAAAATGGCTGCCTAGAGCAAAATAGGGATTCATTTGAAGATCGGCAATTGGAGTTTGTAAGCTAGCTTCAAGCTTATTCCAAAGTTCTAAGTCTTGTTTTCTTAGGATTTGGAATGAATTTTTAATTGTTGTTCAAAATCAAGATTTGTATCAATAATTTGGAATTTATGCAATATAATCAGGGCTAGCACTCTTCACTACTTCATGCAATTGGTGTCACTGCTCAACATTGTCCAAAGAAGCGATGCAATTACAAAATGAGGAATACTACCATCAAAGAAAATAGTATGTCAAAAAATAAGTTTGTCTAGCTACAATAGGGACAGTGTAGCTAGAACCTTATACAATATCTAATGAAGGTCTTATTCTCTCCTCAAAACCTTCTCTTTATTTTACAATAAATGTTATTTTAGGACCTTAACATCACAAAGCCTCTATCTTATTAGATTCAAGAGCCTCAGCTTGTTTCTTAGATGAAGAATTTGCTAAAAGATATAGCATATCTTTAATGAAGAAAACTAAACATATTCATATAGAAGTCATAGATGGTCGTCCATTGTCTTCAAAAAATTTTATTCATGAAACTCTTCCTATAGAAGCAATAAATAATAATTATAGTAGCTTTGTAATATTTAATATGATTAAATCTTCTTCTAATTGAATAATTTTAGATTTATCATTGCTAAAAAAATATAATCCAAAAATAGATTGAATTTCTTGTAGTCTTGATTTATTTGAAAGTATAACTAAGAATATAATTGATCAAGTAGAAAGACATAAGTCTACTATAATTAAATCTATATTTGTAGGTGCAAAAGCTTTCTTGCATGTTAGAAAAAAAAGATTATCTTATGTCATTCATATTGTATCCATTTCAAATGGTAGAAAGACTTCAAGCGGCATTCTAAGCCAATATTAAGATTTTCAAGATGTATTTGAGAAAAAGAATGCTGATATTCTACCAAAATATTATCCCTATGACTATTCAATTGACCTTTAAGAAGGAACTCAAGTGCCATTTGGACCAATTTATAATTTATCATAAAATAAATTGGCTAAATTCAAAAAGTATATTGAAAAAAATCTAGCCAAGAACTTTATATGCCATTCCAAATTTTCGACAAGAGTTCTAATTTTATTTGTAAAGAAAAAAGATGGATCATTGCAAATATGTATCGATTATCAAGGACTCAATAAAATCACCATCAAGAATAGATATCTACTACCTTTGATATCAAGACTTCTTGATTAATTATATCAATCTAAGATCTATACAAAAATAGATCTATAAGGGGCATACAATTTGGTATGCATCAAAAAAGGAGATGAATAGAAGACTACATTTTGAACAATGTATAAACATTTTGAATATAATGACATGCCTTTTGGACTTATAAATGCACCAATAGCTTTTGAATATCTAATGAATGATGTTTTTTGAGAGTTTTTAGATGACTTTGTTGTTTGTAACCTAGATGATGTCTCAATCTATTCTAATAATATATAAGAATATGAATTTTATATTTATTGTGTATTACAAAAACTAAGAAATACAGGACTTTATGCCAAGATAGAAAAGTGTATATTCTACACTACTCAAGTCGACTTCTTAGAATACATCATTTCAAATGATGGATCCTAAAAAATTTCAAACTATTATAGTTTGGAAGATTTCAAAAATGGTAAGAAATGTCCAATGTTTTGTGGAATTTTCCAACTACTACCAGATCTTCATCAAGAACTTCTCTCAAGTTGCAACTCCACTTATCCATTTGACTTATAAAAACAAACTTTAATGAAATCAAGAAGTAAAAGTAATATTTCAAGCTTTGAAGAAAACCTCTATTTTTACACCAATCTTATATTACATTGACTCTTGTAAGATATTTTGTTTCAAAATAGATGCATCAAACTTTACTTTGGATGCCATATTATTATATATAGAAATAGATAATAAACTTCATCTAATAGCTTTTCATTCAAGAAAATTTCTAATAGCCAAGATCAGCTATAAGATTTGTGTCAAAGAACTTCTTGCAATTATAATTTTTTTTGAAGAATGATGCAATTATCTAAAAGGTGCTTCTAACCCAATATTTATTTATTCCAACCATAAGAATCTTAAATATTTTATATAAGAACCTGTTTTGAATCATGGCCAAGTCAATTGGAGTATGTCTTTATCAAGATTTGATTTTAAGATTACTTATCGACTCAAAAAATACTAAAGTTTGTCAGACACCTTTTTTAGATATTTTTGTCTTGT